GCTCACTGCAACCTCCACCTCCTAGGTTCAAGTGATTCTCCTGCCTGAGACTCCTGGGTAGCTGGGATTACAGGCACATGCCACCATGCCTGGCTAATTTTTGTATTTTTAGTAGAGATTGGGTTTCACTGTGTTGGTCAGGCTGGTCTCAAACTCCTGACCTCATGATCCACCCCCCTCGGCCTCTGTAAGTGGTGGGATTACGGGTGTGAGCGACCGCGCCCGGCCCATTCAGTCTTTTTTTAACTCATAGAAGGGCTTCTGCAGAAAAAGAGTCTACTATAGATACCTAGAAAGGGTACCCAATTGATACTGACATTGAGATTTTTTTCAGGTATTCATGACCCTCAGGCTTAGGGTTTGAAGTCAGAGGCAGGGCTGTAGGCTTTCATGGATGATGCCCAGGGAGGAGCCAGATTGTCTGTACCAAACCTTTTTTGTTGTTTTGAGATGGAGTCTCGCTCTGTCGCCCAGGCTGCAGTGCACTGGTGTGATTGCAGCTCACTGCAACCTCCACCTTCCAGGTTCAAGCAGTTCACCTGCCTCCTGCCCACCACCACACCCAGCCAATTTTTTTTTTTTTTTTAATTTTTTAAAAAATGTTTAGTAGAGACAGGGTTTCACCACGTTGCCCAGGCTGGTCTCAAACTCCTGTCCTCAAGTGATCTGCCCATCTTGGCCTCTCAAAGTACTGGGATTACATATGTGAGCCACTGCGCCCGGTCTCTTTTTGAGAATAGTCTTACTCGGTCGCCCAGGCTGGCGTGCAGTGGAATGATCGCAGCTCACTGCAACCTCCGTCTCCCGGTTCAAGCTATTCTTGTGCCTCAGACTCCCAAGTAGCTGGGATCACAGGTGCATGCCACCACACTTGGCTAATTTTTGTATTTTTAGTAGAGATGGGGTTTCACCATATTGGCCAGGCTGTTCTTGAACCCCTGGCCTCCACCGGCCTTGGCCTTCTAAAGTGCTGGGATTACAGGCATGGGCCATCGCGTCTAGCCAATAAAACTTTTCGGTGAGTGATTCCAGCCCTTGATGCATAGGAGGGTAGGGTCTGTAGGAGTGTAGCCTTAACTGATGAATCTGAAAGCTCTGGGTGATGTGAGACATGTGCCAGGTTCTTGGCTTGTATCTGCCTCTAGTACTTCAGGAACTTCCCAACTAGATGGAGGCAGTAAAAATGGGCCCTGCCAGGATGTACCTGTAACAGAGCCATTCAACCATACCCTTGTGCTGTCTGCCTTTAATCATGAAGATTATGAGCTAAGAATGTGGATGCATTTTTATTTTTTAAACATGTAGCAATGATCACTTAGCCATCTTAAATCCATTTGTTTTGGTTGGATTTAAGACCAAGCAAAACAAAATTAAGACTAATTTGTTTTGGTTGGATTTATGAAAGGAAAGATAGTCCAGATTGCTATTCAGAAGGCTTTGTCAGATGCATTCCAGAAACTGTTGATTGTGGTTCTAGGTAAAACTTTCTCAATCATCATTGAAGTACTTCAGTTTCAATGAGCACATAAACGCATTTTGAAAAGTTAATTGGATAAAAATATAGATGGATAAAAATATTGATGGATAAAACACTCCCTAGTATGCTTTCATTTGCTAAATTATTTCACAGCAACAGACTCAAATTTGTTTTTTGTGACATTTGTAGAAAAAATGACAGCAAATATTGTCCCTAGTTTATAGATGTGAAAGGACTTGCCTCAGTTCATACAGAAAATGTTTGAGGCAGGTCTTCTTTAATTGCATACCCATCATACAGAATAGTGATTATAAGCCTCGGACACATGGATTTGAGTCCTAACTCTGTCTCTTAGATTTTTTAATGCAATTTTAGATCTTATGGCCAGAGAGATTTGAAGATATTTAATATCTCTAAGCTGCAATCTTTATCTGCAAACTGGGGTTAGTAAGCCAGTCAAGCTTCTGGGGGATATTGTAAGACAAAATGAGACGACAAATGTCAAAACTCAGAACTGTACTTACAAGGTAAGCAGATAGAATATGCTGTTATTGTCATTGCTGTTTTCTCTCTGAATAAATACACTCTCAGCTGAAGAGTTTATTAGATTATATTTTCTGAATCGAGAATTCTCTTCCCGCTTTCATTTCTGGCACTGACATATTGGCCAAATATGATTCTCATACAATAATCAGCTGCTTTGCTGTGAGCCTTGGAAGTGGTCATGCTGTTGTATGGCATTGCTTGTATTCCCTGTTCAGTTCTACAGTGGTGCAGATGTCATAGCCTGTGCCCGAAGGAAACATGGTGTTTAGCAAAGAGTCCCTGAACGGAGTTGCTCTTCTGCTTCACAGCCCTGAAGGATTAGAGACTGAGAGATCCTAATTAAGTTACTACAGACTTTTATTTGCTTGTAAGAGGTGGCCATGATTGCTCTCAGCTTTCCAACCTGGGCAGCCCTTCTAGTGGAAGTCTTACTTCCTTGGTCATCAACTGTCAAGTCTGAGTAACAACCTTTAATAACGAAGCTAAATGTGTGGGTTGTCCCCCTCTCCCTAGTATGCAGAGGTATCCTTTGCACACACTCAAAACTTCTTAGACCAAAAGCCCTTATAGCTGTAGTTTTCCTTGAAGGAAATTGTATTGTCTATAGAGTACGTGGGCCATTTTCTTCCCATAAAATGTTCGAATGTTCTATCTCTGAGGGTTTGTTCATTGTATCTGGTGGCATTTTGGTTCTCAGGGAGTAGACACCTAGCTGTGCTTCTAACGTGAAGTGTCTACTAGCCCCGTGGTCTCTGTTTTGGATTTGAACTTACTTCAGCCCCCCACCTGATGCCTTACCATTTAATCATATTGTGATTCAACATTTTTGTTTCCACATTTCTTATTTCCTATGTTATTATTCCTTAGTTCCTATCTGTAACATCGTAAAGTACTTTGACCCAAACACAGTTAATATTTCACACATATGTTAAAAACTGAGGTGTGAGACCGGACATGGTGACTCACACCTGAAATCTCAGCACTCTGGGAGGCCAAGACAGAAGGATCACTTCAAGCCAGGAGTTCGAGACCAGCCTGGAAAACAAAGTGGGATCATGTCTCTAAAAAAGAGAATTAGCTGGGCAAAGTGGTGTAGTCCCTGATATTCTGGAGGATGAAGCAGGAGGATGACTTGAGCCCAGGAATTCCAGGCTACAGTGAGCTACAATAGTGCCACTGTACTCCAGCCTGGGTGACAGAATGAGACCCTGTCTCCAAAAAAAAAAAAAAGAAAAAAAGAAAAAAAAATCGAAGTGTATGATGAGGAGATGAGGAAACTTCCAGGAAAATGCTCTTATTTTCTGCTTTTAGAAACCAAAAGAATGTCTCATTGTGGGCTGCTACCATTATATGCAGGAAGTTTTAGAATGAAAAAGATTCTGAATTGATCCTTGCTAACTTTATTTCAGAAAGTGGTAAAATAGTTGTGGCATACAGACCCAGTGAAGAGATTGTAGATGTCAGATGGGAAGAAGAACTACACGGTTTAATTCAAGTGTGTTGGAGATAAAAACTCAGGAGTAACAGGGCCAGGTGCAGTGGCTCACACCTGTAATGCCAGTGCTTTGGGAGGCCGAGGCGGGAGGATCACCTGAGGTTGAGAGTTCAAGACCAGCCTGACCAACGTGGAGAAACGGTGGCGCATGCCTGTAATCCCAGCTACTCGGGAAGCTGAGGCAGGAGAATCGCTTGAACCCGGGAGGTGGAGGTTGCAGTGAGTCGAGATCATGCCATTGCACTCCAGCCTGGGCAACAAGAGTGAAACTCCATCTCAAAAAACAAACAGGCCGGGTGCGATGGCTCACACTTGTAATCCTAGCACTTTGGGAGGTGGAGGTGGGCGGTTCATGAAGTGAAGAGTTCAAGACCAGCCTGGCCAACATAGTGAAACCCTGTCTCTACTAAAAATACAAAAATTAGCTGGATGTGGTGGTGGGCGCCTATAATCCCCGCTACTTGGGAAGCTGAGGCAGGAAAATCTCTTGAACCCAGGAGGCAGAGGTTGCAGTGAGCCGAGATCATTCCACTGCACACCTCTCTGGGTGACAGAGCAGGACTCCATCTCGAGAGAAAAAAAAAACAAAACAAACAAAAAAAAACAACTCAAGGGTCAGATAACATAGCCAGTATAACCATAATTCAAAATAAGCAGCAGAATTTGGAGGATAATTTGCTTCATTCTCAGGAAAATGTGAAACTCCGAAACTGCTTTTTGAGTGCAGGGTATTTCTGGGGCTTTTCCTAAAGTCTTGACCCTTGGCTCTTTCCCCTTATTTGGAGTTTGGAGACAGAACTGAGGACTGTGCTACTACAGCTGTGGACACAGGAGAGGGGTTAGTCTCCTCCGGCCCCAGGTAAGGGAAGCTGGGCTGCTTGAACACAGGCCTTTTTAGAGCTCCCTTCAAACAGGATCCCAGAGATGTGGGGAGAATGTAAGTGGCCTTAAGACTGATTGTGCTACAGCTTTCGAAAATGATAATGCCTTCCAAATATGGCTTATTACTTGGATCTCAGTATCTCCCATGTACCTTGGGTGGAATATTTTGCTGAAGATCTTTCTGTCGATCATTTACAATCATGTGCTGCAAAACGAAGTTTAGGTCAACAATAGACCACATATATGATGGTGGTTCTATAAGAGTATAATGGAGCTATCCCTATACAGGTATACTATTTTTATCTTTTTTTTTTTTTTGAGATGGAGTCACTCTGTTGCCCAGGCTGGAGTGAGTGCAGTGGTGCGATCTCAGCTCACTGCAATCTCCACCTTCTGGGTTCAAGTGATTCTCCTACCTCAGCCTCCTGAGAAGCTGGGATTATAAGCACAGGCCACCACACTCAGCTAATTTTTGTATTTTTAGTAGAGACTGATTTTGTTGGCCAGGCTGGTCTCAAACTCCTGAACTCAGGTGACCACCCACCTTGGCGTCCCAAAGTGCTGGGATTACAGGCCTGAGCCACTGCATCCGGGCCCATTTTTATATTTTATACAGTATTTTAACTGTACCTTTTCCATGTATATGTACACAAATACCTGCCATGGTGTGACAGTTGCCTTTAGTATTCAGTACAGTAACATACAGTACAGGTTTGTAGCCTAGGAGTGCTAGGCCATACCATATAGCCTAGGTGTGCTGTAGGTTACACCACCTAGGTTTGTGTAAGTATACGCCATGATGTTAGCACAATGGTGAAATCACCTAGTGACACATTTCTCAAGCTCCTCACATGGCAAGCAACGCATGACTGCGTATGAAAGCTCTTAAATAGGGAATAAGTTTCTAAATTAATCTCAAAACAGTCATTATTTACTACATATGGAATTTTTTTTTTTTTTTTAATGGAGCAAAAGTATCATTTCAGTGGGAACTTAACTTGGGGCTGCAGTGTTTTATTTAACTTTCACCCCAAAGTTGGAAAGTGTTTTGAAGTTTTTCCCTGTAAAATAATTATTTTAATTCAATTTAAATAAAACCCACCAAGGATACCTCAAGCTTTAAGAAGTCTAGCTTCCTGTGAAATGTGAGAGGAAGTCAGCACTGATTTCAGGAATCTGATTATAACAATAGATCCATGCCTAAATGAGGCGAATCTTGGAATCTCTTCAATTTTAGTTTAGTTTTTTGAGACAGAGTTTCTCTCCTGTTGCCCAGGCTGGAATGCAATGTTGCGATCTTGGCTCACTGCAACCTCTGCCTCCCAGGTTCAAGCAATTGTCCTGCTTCAGCCTCCTGAGTAGCTGAGATTACAGGTATGCACCACCACACTTGGCTAATTTTGTATTTTTAGTACAGATGGAGTTTCACCATGTTGGTCAGGCTGGTCTCGAACTTCTGACCTCAGTGATCCACTCACCTCGGCCTCCCAGAGTTCTAGGATTACGGGTGTGAGCCACCGCACCTGGCTCCCCTTCCATTTTAAAACCATCACTATGCACCCTGTGCCTCTGCTAGGCACTGGAATAAGATGAAGCACCTTCTTGGAGTTTACATGCTGATAATTGTGCCAGACAGTAATAAAATAGGTAAGAATGGCTGTGGGGGAAGTCAGCTGGGTCCTAGTTATAGTCGAATTTCAGGAAATTATTTAACATGCTGACTTCAACAGCCTAAGCCTCTCCTCCATGTGTGCACACAGGGTAGATCTCTGAAGGGTGGCGCTGTAACTTCTAGGGTAATGGCTGTGTTGAGTCAAGGCAGGATGACAGTTCAGCCTCCTCCCAGGCTAGTGCAAAGGGCTCTTCACTGGGATTAAAGCCTTCTCTCCCAGATGAATTGCCCACCCCCAACACCCCTCCTACAGAAAATGTGGAGTCCTGGCTTGTTCCCTGGCAGCCCCTACCTAGTAGGGTGGTGAATTAATTATCAAAACATGCAAAACATGAAACAAAAGATACCGAAAGTTTAGCGAAAATGGCAAATTTTGGAATAAATGACTGTAATGTGCCTCGTGTCTGCCACCCGAACTGGCCCCCATTTTGCAGCTCAGTTGCTCTCCCTGGAAGGAAGAGTACGCTCGGATTTCGCCTTGGAGGAGGAAGAGTTCAGGCTGCCAGAACTGGACTAGCACTTCTGAAGATCCTGAGGCGAGGTCCTGTGACTTCCTTGGGAAGCTCTGCCGCGCCCCCACCCCACCCCACCACAGCAGGCCGCTGGAGTCGTGGGACCACCTGGGTCTATGGACCAAATCCTTCCTCACTAAGGGAAGGGGAGGGGTGTTCCGGCCAGGCAGGGTGGGAAGAGGTGCCTGGGCAGGATTGTGACATAAGAATGCTCTGGTGACATGGAACAGATCTGTGGCATAAATAAAGGTGTCATAAACACAGGGCGGGGCGCACGCTTATAAGAGGCATGAGTGTCTCAGGGCTGCCAGAATGGCTCCCGCTCAGTGCGCGGTGCCAGCGTGCCTCATGTCCCGGCTGCGTTTCTGGGGCCTATGGCCCCTCCTCACGTGGCAACTATTGTGTCTACTAGTCAAGGAGGCTCAGCCTCTGGAGTGGGTCAAGGACCCGCTCCAGCTGACCTCTAACCCCCTGGGGCCGCCTGAGCCCCGGTCTTCCCGCTCCTCCCATCTCCCATGGGAATCTCCCCATGCGCCCACTCCCCCAGCAGACCTGGGGGACTTTGATTACCTGGGGCCCTCTGCTTCCTCGCAGATGTCAGCCCCACCCCAGGAATCGACTGAAAATTTGGTTCCATTCCTGGACACGGATTCAGCTGAAGAGCTGCCCCTGGGGCCAGAGCAGTTCTCCGCTGCACACCAGGATTTAAATGACAAGCTGACTCCGGAAGAAAGGCTCCCAGAGGTGGTCCCACTGCTGGACGGGGATCAGAACCAGACCCTAGTTCAGCTTCCTCGCCTCAAAAGTAAGGTTCCAACTGCAGATCTAGATCGGGCTGCAGGCCATCAGGCAGATGAAATACTTGTTCCGCTAGACAGTAAGATTTCAAAACCAACCACATTTATTGTTTCGCCCAAGAACCTGAAGAGAGATCTAGCTGAGCGTTGGAGCCTTGCTGAGATTGTTGGAATTCCACACCGATTATCCAAACCTCAGCGTGAGAAACAGACTTTGCAGGATGAATATTCGAGTATGGACACACTGTATCCCGGCAGCCTGCCTCCAGAACTCCGGGTGAACTCAGATGAGCCTCCAGGGCCCCCTGAGCGAGTTGGACTTTCTCAATTCCATCTAGAGCCGGAAACTCAAAATCCAGAGACCCTTGAAGGCATCCAGTCCTCTTCATTCCGGCAAGAAGCCCCAGGGCAGCTTCCACAGCTCCCTGAGGAGGAAGAACCTTCTTCCACCCAGCAGGAGGCCCCAGCTCTGCCTCCAGCATCCTCTATGGAGAGTCTAACTCTACCGAATCGTGAGGTGACAGTTCAGCCTCCAGGTGAGGATCAAGCTCATTATAACTTGCCCAACATTACAGTTAAACCTGCAGATGTGGAGGTTACCATAACTTCAGAGCCTACCAAGGAGACAGAATCTTCCCAAGCCCAGCAGGAGGCCCCGATTCAGTTTCCAGAGGAGGCGGAACCTTCTGCAACCCAACAGGAGGCCCCAACTGAGCCTCCAGGTCCTCCTATGGAGCATGAACTTTCCCCCAGTGAGCAGGAGCAGCCAGCTCAGCCTTCTGAGTCTTCTGGGGAGGTTGAATCTTCTCCAGCCCAGCAGGAGGCCCCAGCTCAGCCTCCAGAACATCATGAAGTCACAGTTTCACCTCCTGGTCACCATCAGACTCAGCATTCAGATTTGCCCAGTGTCTCTGTTAAGCCTCCAGATGTGCAGCTCACCATAGCAACAGAGCCTAGTGCAGAGGTGGGAACTTCTCCAGTCCTCCAGGAGGCTACAGCTCACCTCTCAGGGCCAGGTAATGATGTAGAACCTCCTGCCATCCAGCACGGGGGCCCATCTCTGCCTCCAGAGTCACTGGAAGAGGCTGGACCTTCAGCAATTCAACAGACTTCAGTTCAATCTCCGGAAGCTGTTAATAATGAGAACCCCTCTCCAACCCAGCAGGAGGCTGCAGCTGAGCATCCACAGACCGCTGAGGAGGGTGAGTCTTCTCTAACCCAGCAGGAGGCCCCAGCTCAGACTCCAGAGCTCCCTAATGTAGTTGTAGCTCAACCTCCAGAGCATCATGAGGTAACAGTTTCCCCTCTAAGTCATGATCAAGTTCAGCTTCCAGCATTGCACAATGTCACTGTTAATCCTGTGGATCACATGGTTACCATGACTCCAGATTTCACTAATCAGGTTGAACTGTTAACTCAACAGGGGGCCCCAGCTCAGCCTTTAATGTCCCCTGAGCAGTTTCAACATTTGAAAGACCAGCAGCTAAATAGACCTGAAAATTATGAACTTCCTCCAGTCCATAAAGAGCCCACAACTCAGCCTCCAACTCAGCTCTCCTCAGAGTTTGAAAGTTCACTGAATGATGAAGCAATAGGTTCACCTCTATATATGTCATATACAGATGTAGATATGGGGTTTACCAGACCTACAGCAGTCACTATGCGGGTACAACCTTCTCCAGTCCAGCAGGACAGCCCTCCTGTTCCCACTGAGCAGGCTGACTTTTCTCTAGCCCAGCCTGATCTCCCTTCCCCACTTCTGCATCTTCCTGAAAAGACTGAATCTCCAGTCCAGCAAGAGGCCACAGCTCAGATTCCAGATTCCCCTAAGGAGGCAGAACCTTCTCCAGTCCAGCAAGAGTTCCCAGCTGAGCCACCAAAGCCCCCTAAGGAGGTTGACCCATCTGCAACCCAGCAGGAAGCCTCAGGTCCTCCTCTGAAGTCCACTGAAGAGATCAGTCCTCCACTGCAGCAGGAGATACCAGTTCAGCCATCAGAGCCACCTGAGATGGTCGAGCTATCTCCAGTCCTACAGCAGGCCCCAACTCAACTTTTAGAGCGACCTAAAGAGGTAGAATCCTCTCCAGTACAGCAGGCAGTCCCTGCTCAGTCTTCAGACCCCCCTATGGTGATAGAACCCTCTCTGACCCAGCAGATGGCCCCGTCTTTATCTCCAGAGTTCCCTCAGGAGGTGGAACCATCTCTAACTCAGCAGGAGGTTCCAGCTCAGATTCCAGAGCCCCCTATGGAGGCAGAACCTTCTCTGACCCAGCAGGAGGCCACAGTTCAGGCTCCAGAGCCCCCTAAGGAGGTAGAAACTTCAAGGCAGCAGATGATCCCGGTGCACCTTTCAGAGCCACCTAAGGAGGTTGCAGCTCAACCTCCAGCTCATGATGAGGTGACAGGCCCAACACCAGGTCAGGATCAAGCTCAGCATTCAACATTGCCCAGTGTCGTAGTTCAACCTTCGGACCTGGGACTTACCATCATTCCAGAACCCACTATGGAGGTTGAATATTCTACACCCCTGAAGAAGACTATCATTCCTGCAAAGCACCTTAAGGTGACACTTCCACATCCAGACCAGGTTCAGACTCAGCATTCACACCTGACTCAAGCCACAGTTCAACCTTTGGACCTAGGGTTTACCATCACTCCAGAATCCACGACAGAGGTTGAACTTTCTCCAACTGTGCAGGAGACCCCAACTCAGCCTCCTAAGAAAGTTGTACCCCAACTTCTAGTATATCAAGAGGTAGCAATTCTAACACCAGGTCAGGATGAAGCTCAGCATCCAATGTCACCCAGCGTCACAGTTCAACCTTTGGACCTGGGACTTACCATCACTCCAGAACCTACTACAGAGGTTGTACCTTCTACAGCCCTGACAACTACAGCTCCTCCTCCAAAACACCCTGAGGTGACACTTCTACCTTCAGACAAGGGTCAGGCTCAGCATTCACACCTGACTCAAGTCACAATTCAACCTTTATACCTGGAACTTACTGTAACTACAGAACCCACTACAGAGGTTAAACCGTCTCCAACCATGGAGGAGACCTCAACTCAGCCTCCAGACGCAGGACTTACCGTAACTCTAGAACCCACTACAGAGATTGGACATTCCACAGCCCTGGAGAAGACTACAGCTGCTCATCCAGACCAGGTTCAGACTCTGCATCAAAAACTGACTGAAGTCACAGTTCCACGTACTGAACTAGAACCTACTCAAAATTCATTGGTGCAGCCTGAAAGTTACGCCCAAAGTAAGGCTTTAACTGCATCAGAGGAACAGAAGGCCTCCACAAGCACCAACATATGTGAACTCTGTACCTGCGGAGATGAGACACTGTCATGTATTGATCTCAGCCCAAAGCAGAGGCTCCACCAAGTGCCTGTGCCAGAGCCCAACACCTACAATGGCACCTTCACCATCTTGTAAGGATCACCTTTCCCCAATTGTCCTCTGTGTCCTGCCTGACGTGGCAGTCTTTTCCTGGAGGCCTTCCTGGGCTTTCTTTATCTCCCCAAGCCATCCTGACAACTGACTTTCTGCTTTCACCTTTGCTTGTCAGCTCTTCCTTCTCCTTATTCTCCTTTAATGTTAGACCCATTCTCCTCTTTTACTTTTACTCCAGTCTTTTACTCTTACTCGTTTTCTTACCCATTTTTATTTAGCCACATCACACCATTGCTTAACTGCTGCTCTCCTCCCATTTTCGCTTCACCTTCTTTATAGCAGCCTGTCCCTCTCCCAATCTCAGTGATGAGGCTCTAAGTGGTTAAGAGTTGATTCCAGAGCCAGGCTGCCTGGGGTTGAACCCAGGTCTGTTTATTAGGTTGGTGACCCAGAGCAAGTTATTCCGCTCTGTGACTCAATTTCCTCACCTTTCAACTGGGGGTTATGCCAGTTCCCATTTCATAGGATTGTTGTGAAATTTAGGTGAGTGAATATATGAAACACTTCATCAGTGCCTAGCATCAGTGCCTAGGATTGTTGGCTGTTAACATGATTACTCAGTCCTTTAGTTATGTCCACAACTCATCTTTGTCCCTGACTTTCTATATGTAACACTCGTTCCAAGTATGCTACTGTCTCCAGAACATGAAAATGATAGGAGGGAAGAAAGAGAATAGGCATAAAAAGGGAGGTATATATAATTAATGACTAAAAGATATTGCAGACCATTGGTGCTAGAATTTACCAGAATCTGTGATCCTTGAGGTGTGGAGATCAAGGAAAGCTACATGGATAAACTAAAACTTTATTTGGGTCTTAAAGAGTAACTATAATTTGTTAAATAGAAAAAAAATGGGGCTGGGCACGGTGGCTCAAGCCTGTAATCCCAGCACTTTGGGAGGCTGAGACGGGCGGATCACGAAGTCAGGAGATCGAAACCATCCTGGCTAACATGGTGAAACCCCGTCTCTACTAAAAATACAAAAAACTAGCCGGGCGAGGTGGTGGGCGCCTGTAGTCCCAGCTGCTCAGGAGGCTGAGGCAGGAGAATGGCGTGAACCCGGGAGGTGGAGCTTGCAGTGAGCTGAGATCCGGCCACTGCACTCCAGCCTGGGCGACAGAGTGACACTCCGTCTCAAAAAAAAAAAAAGAAAAAAAATGGGAGTACAGTCTAGGCAAAGGCATGGCTACAGGTATGGTTGGAATTTAGTAGATCAATCTGGCTGCAAAGAATTAGGTGAGGGAGCAGTGAAGATATGATTATGTAAAACCTTGACTGTCAGCTATAGGAGTTTGAAAGTTACACAGTGAGGTATGGAAAGCCATTGAAAGTTTCCAAGCAAGAGAGATTAAATGATTAAAACAGGAGGATTATTTTATTTTATTTTGTTTTTTGCTTTATGTTCAAATGTAGACATGCAAAGGATTATTTTAGAATCCGTATGTAGAGCGCCCAAAAGGAAAAGCTTATTTCCAGGGAGACAACATAGAAAGGTCTCGCAAAACGTAGGAGTAAAGTGTGAAGGGGCCAAATCAGATGGTTGTAATAAGAGTGGAAAGAAAAAGCCTAGGATGTTTCAGCAGAGGGCAAAGCTTTGGTGCTACCTGGCATAGGGTTTCTTTCTGCTTATTTATTGATAGTGATAGGCTTTTGCCTATTTTTCTGTTGAATTATTTACCATTTTTGTGTTGATTTGTAGGAGTTTGTTTAAACACATAAGTGCTTTTGGATAAAATACTTACATTCAAAATAATTAACTGGCACTGTCTGTCCAAGAGATGGGATGCATAGGAAGTTAAGCTTCCGGGAGATGCCTCATCATTTGTGCCAGTGGCCCCGCATTGTTTCTTGATGAATTGTGCAAACTGGGAAGCTGATTGCTCTGGAAATGAGAAAGCAGGTGTTATTTTCTGTTTCTGAATATCCTCGACAAGGTTGCCATGATTCCTTTATTTATCCTGTTCATTCTTTTCCTACCTATTCAAGGATATAAACTGTGTTTCTTCACAGAAATTTCCAAGGAAACTATATTTCGTACATTGATGGAAATGTATGGAAAGCATACATTTGGACCGAGAAACTGTGAGTATATTCTCTCCAAATATGACAAAAAACTAACTGCATTGTAAGATCCTTCTCGGTCCAGAATTTTGAGGTCGGTACCTCTGAGAAAAGATACTTCCCCTCATACCCCAAATCAACCTCTGTTGATGGCAATTCTATGGTTATTTTAAAATTAAATGTGGTACGCTCTCTTTAAGAGGCAATTTAAATTTATTTTTTATCATAAAAATAATAGATGGTTATGTTCTTTTTTGTCCTCTTTTTTTTTTTCAGAGATAGGGTCTTACTTTGTCCCCTGGGCTGGAGTGTAGTGGCACAATCACATCTCACTTCCCAGGCACAAGCAATCCTCCCACCTCAGCCTCCAAAGTAGCTGGGACCACAGGTGCACGCCACCACGCCCACCTAATTTTGTATTTCTTGTAGAGACAGGGTCTTCCTATGTTGCTTAGGCTGGTCTTGAACTCATGGACGCAAGTGATCCTCTCACCTTGGCCTCTTAAAGTGCTAATATTACAGGCATGAGCCACCATCCCCAGCCCATGATTCTATTTTTAATGTGTAAAAATGCAATAACAGATATAACAAAAACGCCCCTTGTGCCCTACTCCCGCATCCCTGAGGTAATGCTACTCTGCATTTAGTGTACATGCTTCCAGACTTTTTCCCATTTGCCTACATACATATTTACATAAAGCAAAATAGATTTGTTGTGTGGTCTTTAAATTTTTTTCTTTACATAAGTGGTAACATCTTGCAACTTGATTCTTTGACTTCATGACATGCCTTAGATTTGTTTCCTTCCCAGTACTCAGAGGGTCACCCCATTCATTTAAACTCCTGCATCATCCATAGTCTGGATGCATCATAGTTTATTTAATTATTCCCCCATTGATGAATGTTTAGATTATGCTTAGTTTTATTGTTACATACATTGCTGCAATGAAATCCCTGTACATGCTTCTTTGTGAACATGTATACTATGGGCAAGTATTCCTGTAGAATAGATATCTAGAAATGGAATTGTTAGGGTGAAGATTATGTAGATGTAAAATTTTAATGGCCCTCAAAAATGTCCCAACTTACTCTATTGTCAGCAGAAGAGGACAGCATTCATATCCCCACACCTTTCACCACTGGGTATTCTCCAACTTTTTGTTGAAGTTATGGATGAATAAAAGGGATTCCATCTAAAGTTGAATTTTTCTGATTACTCATGAATTTAACTAAATGTCTTTATATGTTTATTGAACATTTGTGTTTCTTCTCTGAGTTTTCTGGCCTTTGTTCATTTTCCTATTGAATTGTTTTATCATTTTCTTACTGATTTATAGAAGGAATTGGTTTAGACACATAAATGATTTTGGAAAAAATGCTTATATTCGAAGTAACGGACATTTTTCATAACAGTTTGTGTGTCACATCATTAGTTCAACATATATAGACAAGTCATGCATGAGTTCTAAATTAAAAATAAAACACATGCTAGGCGCAGTGGCTCATGCCTGTAATCCCAACATGTTGGGAGGCCAAGGTGGGCGGATCACCTGAAGTCAGGAGTTTGAGACCAGCCTGGCCGATAGGGCGAAACTCCATCTCTACTAAAAATATGAAAATTAGTCAGGTGTGGTGGTGGATGCCTTTAATCCCATCTTGGGAAGCTGAGGCAGGAGAATTGCTTTATTTTTTCAGATGGAATTTTGTTCTTGTTGCCCAGGATGGAGTATAATGGCTTACTCTTGGCTCACTGCAAGTTCCACCTCCCGGGATCAAGCAATTCTCCTGCCTCAGCCTCCCGAGTAGCTGGAATTACAGGTGCCCGCCATCATGCCCAGCTAATTTTTATATTTTTAGTAGAGACAGGGTTTCACTATGTTGGCCAGGCTAGTCTCAAACTCATGACCTCAGGTGATTCACCCGCCTTGGCTTTCCAGAGTGCTGGGATTACAGGTGTGAGCTGCCAGGCCAGAACTACATTTTAAAAACAAGAAAATTATTACAAAGGTCAGGATAGTGGTTACCTATTAGGGTTAGAGAGAGGGATATGATGGGAAGGGGCACACTGGGGCTTCTGGGATGCTAGCAATGATCTTTGGTAACAATGTTTACATGGGTATCTGCTTTATAATTATTAAACTGAATATTTGGCCAGGTGAGGTGGCTCATGTCTGCAATGACAACACTTTGGGAGGCAGAGACAGGAGGATCACTTGAGCCAGGAGTTTGAGACCAGTCTGGGCAACAGAGTGAGACCCTGTCTCAGAAATTAAATTAAATTAAATATAAGGAACATTGATCTCCTGTGTACTTTATGCACATTGTAGTTCTCACATATTTTTGATGGGGAAAAAGGTTGAATGGCTTCACTTGCAGCCCCGACATGGTTCCATGTGGGGCTTTCATAATAAGGTTTAGGGAAAGAGGAGGAAATGGAGGTTCTGCTGATCTTGGTGCCACCCAGAGGTGGATTCTGAAAGGGATTTTGTGATCTAGAGAGGAGGCATGAAATATACAATTTGGTGGGAAGAGTGGCTAGGGGTGTCGTGTGTGTGTGTGTGTGTGTGTGGTGGTGGTGGTGGTGGAGAGAGATGGACACAAAAAGGAAAATGTAAGAAAAGGTTTGAATGAAAGCAGAGCAGATACCACCGTCTTGAAACGACCATGACCCAGCTTTCCCCCACATGCAGGACATAGTCCTGTGCGGCAAATAGTTGTACTTTGCATTTTAATCTAGAAATAACTTGTTCATTTTCCAGAATTCTCAATGAAAATTATTTGACTGAATTACATAAGGATTCATTTGAAGGCCTGCTATCCCTCCAGTATTTGTAAGTTAGTTAATCACATTTATGAGTTTTTAGTCATATAATCTGTAAAACGAATAAGGGGTTCAAATTAGATAATCTCTAAGATTTCTTCCAGCAACAAAATTCTGCAATTCTGTAAGTTTGTATAGGTTTGCCCATCTCTAGTATTAGCTACCTCCTATGCATTTTTAGTTTTTTAATTCCATAGACGAAATACAGACAGAAAAAAATTTCACATGGTAAGAAGATCTGAGCAGTGACTGACACCCGTATGAACCTTGTTTTATAAGTGTTCACACACCATCTTCTTCTATTCAGTCTACAACTAATAGATAAATAGCACATTAAGATTTTTGCATTTTTAAAGGACTGTGAAAGAAAAAGAAAAGAAACAAAGACAAATATGTGAGAGAGATCACATGTGGCCCACAAAGCCTAAAGTATTTACTGTCTGACTTCACAAAAAAAAGATTTGAAAAAGTTGGTTGAGTAAGATGAAAGGAATTAAAGTTAACTTCAGATTGTTGCCTAAAGGAGAAGATATAGACCATCTACATTCATTTGAACGTCATTAATCCAGAATGTTTTGGTAATTTAATGGAAATTAAATTAACATTTATTAAAAATCAGCTGAATTGGCTGGGCGCAGTGGCTCATGCCTGTAATCCCAGCACTCTGGGAGGCCGAGGCTGGCGGATCACGAGGTCAGGAGATCAAGAGCATCCTGGTTAACACGGTGAAACCCCGTCTCTACTAAAAAATACAAAAAATTAGCCAGGTGTGGTGGCAGGCGTCTATAGTCCCAGCTACTCGGGAGGCTGAGGTAGGAGAATGGCGTGAACCTGGGAGGCGGAGCTTGCAGTGAGCTGAGATCTGGCCACCGCACTCCAGCCTGGGCGACAGAGCGAGGCTCTGTCTCAAAAAAAAAAAAAAAAAAATCAGCTGAATTATATAAATAATATTATCAAGAATATTAAGCTCCCAGGAGAATAGACTGGTATTAAAGATTTCAGTTCAGGAATTGTTATATGAAAAGAGATGTTTAAAATGATGGTTAACTGGCAGAGCTAGAAATGTTTACACTAAGAAGCATATCAGAAATGCCCCTAACTCTTCACCAATTACAAAATACTATCTCCCCAAATCTGTTACCAAGAAAGTGATACCTGCATAGTATTTCTGTCTGTTTAGAGACAAGAAGATACTATGTTCATTGTTATGAAAGTTTGATTCTTATCCTTTGTCCATAGAGGTGTGTATGTCATTAATCCTTACTAAGCTCATTAGTGACGCTGTTTTGCAAACAGATTCTTTCAAATATAGAGGAATTAAGGAAAGTGGGTGTAAAGACCCTCAAGTGGATGCCAAAGTGCCACAGTGGCCATGAAGTAATAAAACTACGTTTCCTTTAAAATAGTCATTTTCCTTCTACTCACTCCCCCAGCTATTCATTTATTTTACAAATATTTGAATTTACTTTTTTTCCATGTGTCAGTTTTAAACATGGTGGGCAATGCAGATGAGCAAGACCTAGTCCATGCTTGCAAGGAATTTATGCTCAGAAGAAATTGGATGGAAAATAACTACATTAAAAAGAATAAATGGATGTGGGCACTAGGAGGGATACATTGTTTCTGCAGCATAGGAGGGATAAATTATTTCTGGAGCACAGAAAAGGAGAAAATGTCTTCAATTTGGACCCAGGAGGATGTTACTAGAACAATGCCGTTTGAATAGGACTTTGAAGGGCCATCGTGTAACATCGGACAGACATCTTGGGGAATATATTCTAAACTTGCAAAAGGAAAATGGGAGAAGGGCAAAGCGCAGGAAAGTGTTCGAGGAATACCATGAGTACCTGTAGAGTACAAGGAGGAAGAGTAGGAAATTGGAGCCAGATCTTCTAGGGCTTTGAATGCCAAGCTGAGGAGCCATCATGGGGAACCGTGTTACTGCAGCAGTGCTGTAGATAGATCTGCATCACAATCACTGAGAGGGCGCGTTAGAACTCAGTTCCGGACTCCGCCCTCGTGGTTACTGATTCAGTTGGTCTAGAGTGGAACCAAGAATTTGCATCTTCAATAATTTCCCAGGAAATGCTGGTCTTTGCAAACCACTTATGGAGAGTTTATCTGATGACTGTGTGCAGGATAGTTTAGGAAGGGAGAGACTAGAGATGGAGACATCAGCCAGACAGCATTATTCCATCCAGGTAAAGAGGGAGGGAGAAGCCCCATCGTTGTATAACTGAAGAAATTGCTTTCATAAAATATTAAAGCAATATAAAACCAAAAATGAATTTCTAATAATATGATAGAAATTCTATTAATATGATTTAATTCAAATCATATTTGAATTCAGTTCAAAGTTATGTGTTAGGTAAAGGGGTAATTTCCTTTCAGATGATGTGAAAGGATGTCTTTTATTTCTTCTGATATTGAACTGGCTTAGGAAAACAGACCTAAACTAGGAAGTTGTATAAATATGAGGAAATTTTTTTTTTTTTTAATGGAGTCTCGCTCTGTTGCCCAGGCTGGAGTGCAGTGGTGCAGTCTCAGCTAACTGCAAGCTCCACCTCCCAGGTTCACGCCATTCTTCTGCCTCAGCTTCCCAAGCAGCTGGTACTACAGGCGCCCGCCAACACGCCCAGCTAATTTTTTGTATTTTTTAGTAGAGACGGGGTTTCACCGTGTTAGCCAGGATGGTCTCGATATCCTTAACTCAGGATCTGCCAGCCTCGGCCTCCCAAAGTGCTGTGATTACAAGCGTGAGCCACCACGCATGGCCCGACTATTTTTTTTTTTTTTTTTTGAGACGGAGTCTCGCTCTGCCGCCCAGGCTGGAGTGCAGTGGCCAGATCTTGGCTCACTGCAAGCTCCACATCCCGGGTTCACGCCATTCTCCTGCCTCAGCCTCCCGAGTATCTGGGACTACAGGCGCCCGCCACCTCGCCTGGCTAGTTTTTTGTATTTTTTAGTAGAGACGGGGTTTCACCGTGTCAGCCAGGATGGTCTCGATCTCCTGACCTCATGATCCGCCCGTCTCGGCCTCCCAAAGTGCTGGGATTACAGGCTTGAGCCACCACGCCCGGCCAGCCTGACTATTTTTTAATATTAGAAATTATATATAGAGAGAAAAACTTTGAGCTCATAATCTACAATTTGGTGAGACTACTAAAGGGCATCTAATCAAGTCTACTCCTCTCAGGAGAAATTGATTCCAAAGTTTGTTAAGTTGTATATTTATTAAAAACACGAAGGTGAGACTCTAGGAGAGGTATGGGCAGGGTTAGGGGCTCTGGAAAGTTCAAATACAAGTCCAAACGTTTAGAGTTGAGGTGAAAAATGTGTATTCAATATTATTCTAAACTCTTGCTATTATTCATACTAATCGACATTTAATAACTAACCAAGGCGATATTTTCCTTTTGCTTTTTCTAGAGATTTATCCTGCAATAAAATACAGTCTATTGAAAGACGTACATTTGAACCACTACCATTTTTGCAGTTTATGTAAGTTACACATATAACTATATTGTATTTGGCATTTTTATAAAACTTAATTATAAACTTCTTTGCTATTCATTTTGAAATATGATTAAAGTTTTACCAGTAGAAAGCTACTAAAATTATAGAGCAAATCCTTTTTGTCTCTAGCAAGGATTAGTGTGAGAATTATGACACAGATCATAGTGAATCATCAGAGAGCAGTGGTTCTCAGCTGGTGTGATTTTCTACTCAGGTGGCATTTGGTAATGTCTGGATACAGTATTGATTGACAAAACTGTGGGTGTGCTCCTGGCATCTGGTGGGCAAAGGCCAGAGATGCTGCTAAACATCCTCCAAGGTACAAGACAAATGCCCACAGCAAACAATTATAGAGTCCAAAATGTCGATGGCACTGAAGTTGTGAAATCCTGTTCTAGGGAAATAAAGATCACTTCACACTTCACACAGGTATTTACTGAGCGTTCACTGTTTTGTAGCTAATACACCACATGTGCAATGTTAAAGTATAAATCATAAGCCAGTATCTTCCACAGTGAGATTTCCTTAGTGCATACAGGAAGGATTGAGGTTATATTCCATCCTATATAAATTAGAATCATGGCAAATGATGAATGTTCTGAAACAATTTTTTTTTCCTTTGGCTTGTGTCTTTTTTTTTTTTGTAGAAATCTTGGTTGCAATTTACTCACAGAACTGAGCTTTGGAACATTTCAGGCCTGGCACGGAATGCAGTTTTTATACAAGTTGTAAGTGAAATAGAAGATGAATACATGTAAAGAACTATTTATGTATAAAAACTCATACAATTATTAGTTAGCTGGGTATAAGCCCTTTATGAATTCTGAAAAGTATATCTTAAGATCCATTCGTTTTTCTCAAATGGGGAAACTAAGGTACAAAGAGGCCAAGAGACGTACATAGCTTATATATGACCTGCTCTGCTTGTGCTAGTTCTGACCTATGCATCGGCAAGAAAAGGTATCAAAGAAGTGACCCTCAACTTAGCCTTGTTGCTGGTCTGGGTGGCTTAGGCCTGTAATCCCAGAACTTTGGGAGCCGAGGTAGGCGGATCACCTGAGGTCAGGAATTCAACACCAGCCTGGGCAACATAGTGAAACCCCGTCTCTACTAAAAATACAAAAAAACTGGCTGGGCTTAGTGGTGCAGTTTTTTGCCCCTGCAGGAATCTGTGTTAAGCTCTTCCTTACTTGCAGCTAAATGTTGCAGACATTTAAGCAGTTAGAAACTCTGCATATCAGCAGGAATCAAAGTTAAATCCAAAGTACAGGGCCGGGCATGGCAGCTCACACCTGTAATCCCAGTACCTTGGGAGGCCGAGGTGGGAGAATCACTTGAGGTCAGGAATTTGAGACCAGCCTGGCCAACATGGCGAAACCCCGTCTCTAGTAAAAATACAACAATTAGTAGGTCGTGGTAGCAGGTGCCTGTGATCCCAGCTGTCAGGAGGCTGAGGCATGAGAATGGCTGGAACCCGGGAAGTGGATAATCATCATCATCATCATCATCATCATCATCTAGCCAGCTTCACTACAATTATGTAGGAAACGCCAGGAAAACACTGGAATCACGGTTGATAAAAATTGATGAATTCACTCAAAAACATTCACTGAGTGCCATGTCCGTTTGTGCCAGGTACTCTACTAAGCGCCAGGGGTAAAAAAATCCATCTCAAAGACACACCAAGATGAGGACTTTGTCCCCAAGGGACTTTCATTCCTCAAGGAGGAAGCGGCTGCTGATGGGAAACATACGAGAGCCATGTGGGGATCTGTACAGCAGGGTGACCAGGAGAGGACAAAGCAGGAATGGGTGGTGGGTAAGAAAGACTTGAGGAGACACTAACTTGCTTATCTCGAGTTTCTGTGTTCGTCTTAACAGAAAAGGGCATTTGCTTCATGGTGATGAAAAAATCAGAGCCAGCAGATACTGGAAATTAATACTCATTTCATATAAACAGAATAGAGCTGAACCCTTCAAACTAAGTCACAGTTACTTTCAGAGATTGGCACAAGGGTCTCAACACACCAAGTGTGTTAGGGGCTGGGCTCCTTTGTTTGGGTCAAATCTTTCTGGTAAACAAAGCTACACTGCAGAGTCATATTTGGCACATGTGACCTATAGGCCCATTGCATTTCTTTCCAAAGGCAAGTTGCCAAGGGAAGGTGCCAGTAATTTTATGACACCATTTTGTGGTGTTTGTAAGTTGAAACAATATATTTCCCGGCATTACATAAGTTTGTAAAAAACAAACAACAAAAAGAGGCCCCAGCTGTGGTTGCTGGATGATGAATTGAATAGAGCCTAAGCTTCAGGGCTTCTCACTTGCACAGGCCCTTCCAAGGTCCTGGGAGGGCCCCTGGAAATTTTTGTATTCATACTTTTTTAAAAATGTTTTTACTAGATAAGGTTCAGGCCCCACAAAATCCTGAAATCACCCCTGGGTTCCAATAGTTACAACCCAGTGCATCTCTTGAATAAAGCCTCTATGTTATTGACAAATACTGACTGGCCAAGTTAGCAGTGTGATAAGGTCAGTCTATTTTGAATCTGAAATCCATCTCAAAGACAAACCAAGAGCTTATTAGTGGACTTAACTGGGTTCTGCTGGCCCAAGCGCAGTAAAGCCAAACAACCATATCAAGGTTTTGCATTGGGGAAAGGAGGACATTTATTTGCAGGGCATCCAAGCAAGAAGGACCAGGCAGCTAACTATCAAAGTCCCCCTTTGAATGGGGGCAATAATCTTATCTCTTACAGATGAAATGATGAATGAAATGGTTTATGGAAAAGTAGCAGTGGTTGATAATCCTAAATGTTAAGTAAGTTTATATTTTTTCCCTGACTTTAAAGTGCTTCTTCATTCCCATGCACAGGTCCAGACTGATGGCTTATTTTTTAAAATTCTCTTAGTCACTTCATTGGTTCTAACAATAATTTTAGAAACTGGATGACTTTGCAGTGTAGAACGGCTGTACTTTATTCCGATAGAGCACGGCGCATCAGTATCATGCCAAGAATGTAAGCCCTAAGAGAGAATCAGAGCAAAATCCAGGCTTTATCCCTATTGAATTATTTATCCCACTATTAGAATATTAGTGAGGTAGGTGTGGCCACCCCGTGATGGCAAATTGAGCTTCGTTCACAAACATGCCTTGTTGTGCCCCCCAGTCTACTGACATCAGCTTCCTTTACACAGCGGTAGATGCACAGAAGTGTGCGCAGTTGAGGATGTTGTCATCATGCTTTGGTATGTATTGGAACCCTGGCAGCTGCTTCTCGGATTCAGAGAGGCGTAAACATTACAGATGAAAAGAACAACTGGGGTCTGTCCTTGGGGTGATTTAGGGTGGCTGTTTAAATTTGTAATGGTTGAAAAGTCTTGAGATTGTCACACGTAGCAAGTTACACTTTTCTTCTCAGCTGCAGCTTATTCTTCTCACCTGTGTAACAAGCTGTCTTCTCTTCTCACAGAAGCTCAGCATTTCTTCCTCTGCCCCATAGCATTTTTTCAGTACTTACATTTACTAGGTCCTGTTTAGGTTGTAGGCACCTAAGTACTTATACAAGTGAGATAACATGTCCGAAGTTCTTAGAACAGAACTTGCCATATGGTAAATGCTCTATACATGTTACCTCCTATGATATCTCATTTTCGTTTTTCCAGCAACTCTTGCGATGCGGTTATTATTATCATTTCTATTTTGCAGATGAGGAAGCTGAAACTCAGAGACGCTAGGTAATTTGCTTAGGTTCACATGGCTAATAAGTGGCAGAACCACTTACCAGCTTTGCAAGTAATTTTCGATGCAGCTCTTAGTTCCCCTGTAATAGGAGCTGAATGATGTCAGTTTGGCTTTGTGTGCATTGTATCTTATTTTTGAACTTGAATAGGACTTTTAGAGCAGTGAGCTCCGTTTCCCTCTGAGAATCCCATGCTTCCGGAGCTCCTGGCCGTACCAGCTCTGGGCATCCCCAAGGTTTATGCTCACTGGTCAGTGCTGGTGTGACATGACGGCTGAGCACCGGCACTGTGTCCAGCGCATTGCTAGGCACTATACACATGCTCTTTCATTGCTTCCTCAAACTGCCTTGTGCTGTAAATGCTACCCAGAAAGGCTCATGTTCATTACTCGAGTCACTTCACCAGAAAGTGACAGAGCCAGAATTCCAACCCAGGTCTGCAGATTCCAGGTCCCTTGCTTCTCCTGTTGTTCCTCATTTTCAGGGAGTCTTCTTCAAGGTTATTCTCAGGACTTTGATTAAGATATAGGCTCACAGCTCGGCATGGTGGCTCATGCCTGTAATCCCAGCACTTTGAGAGGCCTAGATGGGTGGATCACTTGAGCTCAGGAGTTCAAGACCAGCCTGGCCAACATGGTGAAACCCCGTCTCTACTAAAAATAGAAAAATTAACCAGGCATGGAGATGGGCACCTATAATCCCAGCTACTCTGAAAGCTGAGGGAGGAGAATCAGTCACCCCATTGCTATCTTCCCTCAGCCCCAGGTAACTGCTAATCTACTTTGAGTCCCTGTGGATTTGCCTATTCTAGATCTTTCATATAAATGAATCATACAGTATGTGGCCTTCTGTGTCTGGTTTCTTTTCACAAAGCATGTTGTTTCTAAGGTCCTCCCATGCTGCAGCATGTGTCATTCCTTTTCAAGGCTGAGTGATATTCCATTGTATGGAGCCATCACTGTATCAGTTCATCCATTCATCACTTAGTGGACATTTGGGTTGTTTCTACTTTATTCTGGCATTTATGAATAATGCTGCTGTGGACATGCATGTACTCGTTTTTGTGTGGACATGTTTTTAATTCTAGGATACATCCCTAGCAGAATTGCTAGATCATAGGGCAACTCTTACGTTTAACTTTTTGAGGACCTGTCAAACTGTTTTCCACAGTGGCTGCTCCATTTTACACTTCCACCTGCAATGTTTGAGGGTTTCAATTTCTCCATGTCTTTGTCAACACTGTCGTCTATCTCTTCTCATTGTAGCCATTCCAGTTAGTGTAAAGTAGTATCTAGTATCTCGCTGTGGTTTTTGATGGACATTTCCCTAATGATTTAAGACATTGAACATTTTTATGTGCATATGGGCCATTTATATGGCTTCTTTAAAGAAATATTTATTCAAATCCTCTCCCCATTTAAAAAATTGATTTGTCTTTTTATTGAATTACAAGTATTCGGTATATCTTCTGGATACTCTGGATATTAGACCTTAACAGATAATTTGCCTGTATTTTCTCTCATCCTGTGAATTCTGTGACTTTCTTGACAGTGTCCTTTGATGCACAAAAGTTTTTAATTTTCATAAAATCTAATTTATCTATTTTTCCTTTGGTTGTTTGTACTTTTGGTGTCATGTTTGTGTATAAAATGTCTTATTCTTCTTTAAGAAGGTTCAGGGTTTGGTTTTAAATCAGGCTGTGTACCTTTCATTAGTCTGACATTCCTTTCACCATGTCAGGCTGCCTTCAGCTAGTAATAGTTCATTAAATTCAAAAGACAAAAATTGATTTAAAAGAAAAAAATCCAGTTTGGAGAAGAAAAAAACTCTTGTCTAATTTAAGGTCACGAGATTTACTCCCATGCTTTCTTCTAAGAGTCTTATCATTTTGGCTCTTACATTTAGGTATTTGATGTATTTTGCATTAATTTTTATAATCGTGTGAGGTGTAGGGGTTCCACCTTCATTATTTTGCACAAAGATA